AAAATAAATCAGCTCAATACTTTTACAAATTTCCTGCATTATGGCCAATTCTGGATACATCTAGCAGTTAACACACTGCTTTTGATTGGCTCCCCCATGTTTTGTATTAAAAAATTACTACTGAATAAATATATCTTCCTTACACACATATTCCAAAACAGATGAAATGTCATCTCAGGTTACTAAAATAGTAATACCAGTAAAAATGACAATGACAATGTAATAATAACAAAAACTCTCTTTGAGCATTTACCACTGGTAGGCACATTCTAACTACTATACAGCCTCTGGTTCATCTAATCCTCACCAAAAAACCCCTGTGAAATAGTATCATGATGTCCTAATTTCAAAAATGAGGAAACAGGTCAGAAATTAAGCAACTTGTTCAAGATTACAGAGTTAGTTAGTGTCTAAAGATTTAAACACTTGAACATCTTTCCCCTAGAAATTACGTTTTTAACCACTGTACTGTGTAATTAAATAATTTGGAAAACTCTTAAAATGAACAAAGGATGCTTATTCAAATTTGTTTATAAAGCAAAAGCATTTTGGTGATTTGCAAAAAAAACCTACTCACCTTACCTTTAGTTAGGTATATGTCCTTCAACCAAGCTAAGACTGAACCCATGATGAACAAATTTAAATTTTATGCTGCTTTGGTTTTATCATTTTGTAATCCCCCACTAACTGAATAATAGTGGTAACAGTATGTACCTTTCATAACAAACTAATAAAACTTTTTCAAAATCTTCAACACACATTTCAAACAGTGTTTATCATAAATAAGCTAAGGTAAACTAACTCCAGGAGTGCCAATATCCTTGAAAAGTTCTAAAACTGCAAGTAGTAGAAACCATATATTCCCTTTAAGTCAAAGCAAAACTCTGTTCTTTCCATAACACTGTAATAGCTGTTTTAACAATGAACATTAAGCTGGGAATGGATGGACTTAACTTCAATTCAATTTCAAAACATGTGCCTATAATGACAATATAAAAAAGCTCTAAGTTTCACTCTCAGAAGCGCTATCTGATCCATATATCAAATCTAATTTTGGATGGCCCTACTATCTCACTGAGTAGCAAAAGTACACAACTCCCAACAACTTCAGGAGCACTAGCTGATTTTTTAAGATGTCTATTTGAACATCAAAACTTGCCTTCTCAGGAAACAAAGGTCTCCGCCAAGTTTCCAAAGCAGTCCACAGAGCGGCACCCACGAGGCTGCATAAGTATGATAAAACACCAAACCTGCACAGGCAGTGTTTCTATGTGAAAACCTGTCTAGCATTACCCCTTCCCTTTCTGACCTGGAAGTAGGAAAAGGAATTCTCCTGGCCTCTAGTTGGGAGTCTGAGCTTCCCTAGAGCCACAGGCTTAGGTTTCCATCATTAAGCACAGCAGGATAGGCAGGAACAAGGACAGAAAGCCATGCATTAGGCTTGAGGTAGAAGGACAGAAAGGCAGAGCTGGGTTGGGAGGTGATTCCAAGATAAGACAAGACCTACTCAGAAGAGAAGAATGAAGAGTGAGGTGGCAGCTCAAAGGAGAGAAGAACAAGTGTGTGGGGCCGGAGGTGGGCAGCTGAAAACCACGAGGGACCGCTCCTGCAGCAGATGAGCTTTTACAAACACTTCTGAGGGAAGGAAAAGAAAAAGAAACTATGGCAAGGTCTTGACACTGCCTCTCATTCTGACTATTCTCACTCTCCTTTTTAAGAAAGAATGTTGGGGCCAGTTAAGGGGCTTAGGGGGTCCCTCTAGACCTCCTAGAGCACAGGAATTCCAACTTAAAGGAGTTTCCTTACTCTCCTAGCCAGCCTCCACCCAAAGATTTCAGTCAACTTAGAAGCCAGGGAAAGTTCCAGATAATGGCCAGAACGTCAGAAAGGAAGGAAATTAAGAAGATAAATTTGAAGCAGGAGAGAAGTGGGATGTTGGAGAGTCAACCAAGTAACAGAACTGCCAATAAACTGAGCTATAATAAATGTGCTAAAATATTTAGGATTAATTCACTTTGACAGTTCTAAGATTTCATTAAGTTAATTTCACCCTAGACAAATGAATATTTGTGGCCAGGGCAATAACTTGAGGTTTATTATGCAGAAGGCATGAAAATGAACTTCCACATACACAAGACAATTTTCTGGTGTCTTTACAGAGTGGCAACATAACTCATCTCAGAAAGATTTTTACTTGGTGAGCACTCATTTACATTATGATTTGTCATTTTTTTTTAGTCCTAACAGCCCAATATGAATAATAACCTTCATAAATATGTGAGTGTGTGTGTGTGTGTGTGTGTGTGTATATTTAACTCTTTCTTGGGAGTATACCAAAAATGAATTTTTTTTCTCTCATTTGAATCAAGGATTGCCCATGAAGAACCCAAAGTATCATTAAAGCAAAGTGCCAAACTCCATGCAACAAATGTATACCTGTTGCATCCTAAGAAGCAAGGGCTTTTCTGTCCTGGGCTCTAATGCCCATGCTTCCATGAGGCATGCTACTTAACTGAAGGCCTCCAACAATTTACTTCTTAAAAGAGTAGCAAATCCCTTATCCTATAAGATTTCTAAGACTTCCTGCCAGAGATAATTAGTTCAACAGGTAAACCTAACCAAATGATACACTGAAGGACGAATGCCAGACGTCTGGCCCTTTCTAAAAAATCTTAGCAGCTACTACTCTTCCAGTGGGACTCTCTTCAGTGGAGATAATGCTGCTGGCAAGCGAGGGTGGCAAGCGAGAAGCACATCAAAGACACAAGAGCAGAGACTGAAGAACAACAAAAGTGACAAGGACCATGCACTGGGGCAAGATGTTCCTGCCATTTTACTGCTCAGAAAATGTCTGAGAACTCAAACTCTTTCAGTTCCTAGCCCCTAATAGCTGCCTTATTTTCTGCAAACCACGAACTGGATCTAAAACCTCTGTACTAAATTAAAGAGAAGAAAAATAGCATCAGTCATCAAGTACTCCAGAGGAGTTGGTAGGTGGGTGTGTGTATACCTCCAAGCTATGATAAAGCAAAATCAAACCCCCCTATAAATAGTTGGCTTTATTTTAGTTAATATAATTTGAAAAACTATCCAAGACCCAAATAACCTAAGTATTTGATCTTTGAAGTATTCTGGACATGCTGATATTGGAAGCAAAGTTACTGAAAAAAGCTGATAGGTCACTACCAGAAACCTTAATATCAGCAGAGACTTCTGCTAAAATATTACCTCTAGCCAGTTTATGGACATATCTGAAATGAAAACAAAAGAAAAATTCCCAACTTTCAAGATTACCAGCAGAATTAAGTTTTCTGGCATGAAAATTTCCATTTTCATAAAATTTATCAGTCCACACATACACTTAAGCAGAGTATAACAGCACATATTCCAGAATCAGACACACGTGACTTTTGAGTTCTTGCTCCCCAATTTGCCAGCTGTGGTGACCTCCTCAGTAAAGTCACACTGAAGAATACTGGAGGTTTAGTGTCATTATCTTCACAACAGGGATAATATTATCTTCAGCAAAGGATAGCAAGAAAGATTAAATACAGGCGTACACAACCCACCAAAGCCAGCGCCTGAAAATACACCAACTGTTAGTTCCCTTCCAGCGAACGCAAAGCGCGTGGTTTAATATCTATTACTAAGAAAACTATGCCAAGTAAACATGTGTTAGAAAATTCAGGGTGACAGAACGCTGGTTAGTATGGTCTATCAACTGTAAAGATGAAAATTACACATTTAATATTCACCTTCATTTAAGTCTAACTTTCTCTTTTTTGAGCCACTTGGAGGCAAAAAGCAGGTAGTGCCTAACGCTGAAAAACTTCGTATCACACACTGATTAAAATTACTTATGTGTATAGGCTTGTATTTGCCCCAAAAGACACCATCATAAAACTTGCCATGGGCTACATCCTTTATAATGTAAAGCTATGAGAAATTAAACTCTCCTCTCCAAAGTCTTTCCTTGCTGGTAACGTTTCCTTCTTACACATGTTCTTGTATATCACTGCAAAAACATTTGCCAAGCAAAGGAAAAAAGTAACCCCCCTTATCTTGCAAAACGAAAAAGTGTGCAAAGGAAGCTAAGTTTGTCAAGTTGCTCTTTCCTATTCATTCCTGTTCTTTTACAAACCAGCAGTAAATACATCACACGCCAAAACGATCGTCTGATTAACAAACGTCAACGAAGAACACATGGAGTTAACAAGCCCCGTCTGGACCAAAGGTGACAAGTTTTCTGAAGCAATTTAAATAAATGACATTTCAGTAAGGACAGAAATGCTTTCTATTTTAACACATCAACAATATGAACTTTTGACTTTATATGCGGCTTCCTTTACACCTTGTTCCCCATCCCATCCCCCCAAATCCTGCTTTTATGCACTTTAATGAGCTGGCACACAGCACTTAACTGTAGAACTCCAGCTGGAAATAACTATAATCTGCTGTTGGACCTCAGAGGATTCCTGCGTGATCCGTAACGAACGTCAACGAGGTGTTCACCCTACTGCACACCTGCCAATAATCGTTTACGAACAAACCTCCTCAGGAGCAAGTCTTACTATTACTACTGATCTCCACGTCACTCAACACCCTCAACAAGCCCCAACCTTGGTGCGACCCGTCTCCCCCCCAACCCCCCCGTGCCTTGCTGAGGCGTGAAGCCCGCCCACCGATCCCTCCCGGCACTGTCCAGGGTCCGGCAAGGACAGCCACCTCTCCGTCAGGGGGGGCGAAGAGCAATCCAGGCCCCCGGCCACTCCCTCTCTGCTCGGCCTCCCGGGGCGCCAGGGTGCAGACGCGCCAGGCCCTGCGCAAGCCTCCCGTAGCGCCACAGTTCCCGGGGTCCGCCACAGCTCCGTGAGGAGAGAGCCGTCAGAACACCCGCGGTCGCGCACACGCCCACCGCCCCCGGCACCAAGTCACCCGGACGACCCCGGGGCCGCCCCTCACACCCAGGGCAGGTGCCGGGCCTCGGCTCGGACACTCACCCGGCAGCGGCTGCTCGCGGTCCTCCGCAGTCGCCGTCTCGCCCTCGCGCCCGCAACCTGCGCCCGCGGGGGGTCCGGGCCGGTGCCGCTTCCCCGCCCGACCCCCCCTCGGGTGTGCGCCTTGCAGGGCCGGGATCCGGTGTGAGCCGCCGCCGCCCCCTTTCCTCCCTCCTCCCTCAGGGCGTCCCTCCCACCCTGGCCCGCCTTGTATTTCCTGGATCCGGTCTGGGCTAGAGCTTGGCAAGCGAAGCGCCCGCTTCAGGGCTCCCGTCGGGCGCCGTCGCTCGCCAGGCACAAAGATGGCGTGGCTGGGCACTGGCGACAGCGATCTCGCGATGCTTCCCTAGAGCGACGGGATCGGGGGGGCCGAGAAAGGTGGTCAATGAGGGTAGCCTGAGCGGTAACTTCGGAACTAACGCGCCCTTTATACCGGAACTGGGCAGCCGTGTTCCAGATCAAGTTACTGCGGCTGCGCGCGGGCAGCGCTGACGCATGCCCAGAACAACCCTTGCAGGGGTATCCACTTCGTGTTTTACCTGTTTCCACTAAGGGCGCGGAGCTGGGAAAGAACGGGGAGGAGGGGCGGGAATGAACCTCGGGAAAAAGGCTGGGCTGGGCAGAGCGGCGAGGTGGGAGGTGCCTCCTGTAGCTGGATCATCCCTCAAGATCCCGAATGGCCGACCGGCTTGGGCGTCCCCGGGAGTCCACCAACCCTTTTCTTTTCCCCGCCCTCCCTGTCACTGAGTATTTGCAAAGCCTCGGCTGCCTCTTCATCCTGTTGTGGATTCGCGCTTTTTAATGAGAATGGCCGTGAGCTCTGAGCTGGTCTCTCAGCTGGCAGCCACAGCCAGCTTTCTCACGTCACTATCTAACTTTCTCTTTCATTTTGACGCTACGAGAGCCTTTCCAATTGTTTTCTTTTTTCCTCGCTCATTCATTTAGTCATTCATTCAAATGCGTGCTGCGTTTCCTATGTGCCAGGGACTGACAAACCACCAGTGTGTTCTGACCTGAGGGAACTGTTGGCCAGGGATGGAGACAGATGAGTGAAAAACAATGACGACAGTTCAGCACAGTAAATCCTATGATAGAAATGAGTAGAGAGGAGCGACAGATATTGGGGGTAGAATGTCATTAAACATATCAAGAGAAAATTTTTGAGCAGACTCAGAAGCATCGAATTTAGTTCATTGAATCAGTCAGAGTGGTGTGAGGAAACCTCCCCGATTATTTTAACAGAGATTTTCACATAAGAATTGGTAATTTAGATACTTGGAAAAGCATGAAGCAAATTCTTAATACATCACTAAGTAGTAAGGGGGAAGCAGCTACTATGCATGGGGGGGGGGGTCAGGAGAAGTAAGGTCTACAATTTAGACCTTAGAGGAGAGGTTTGTTGAGCTGAAACTCGGACCTGGAGAAGCCAGTACCATCTGCTGGTTCTGGTGTCTCTGAGAGGGACTCAATATTGTCTGCAAGTGTGGAGAGACCACACTGGACCCCGCTGTTGCAGAAGGAGCTGCCACTGTCTTGAGAACTTCCCATCACCCTCCAGCCTAGGGGTGAAAATGAGACATAGTAGAGCTGAACTTAACCCGCAGCCTGAAGCAGAACAGCTCCAAAGGCAGAGAACTGCTCATTTCACAGCTGGATGTAATCAGAAAGGGGATTGTTGTTCACTCCTGTTCCACACCCCATGTAGTGGGAACCACCATGTTAGGTTTTCCACATTCCTCGAAAACCTACTTCAAGTTCAGGGTTTTATAGGAAATACAGCTGCCTGGAAGCAACTCAAATTCATGAGTGAGAAATTAATGTGTTTAGTAGTAGGGCACTGAGACTTTGGTTTATTACATGGCTCAAGAGGACTAATAACAGCAGCTCTGTCCCATAAAGTGAGCAGGAGTTAGTCTCCTTCTATCTTCTTGCTCCATCATCACTAGCGCGCTGTCCTAGAATGATCCAGAATGGCTCAGTACCACTTCACTTTCTACCTCACTCTTCAGGAAGGAGATGATCTTAACATACAAATTGTCAGGATCACTTGTGTTCACAAGTCATTGGTCATAATTTAATCACATTACTGCACCTGTTAGACTGGGAAGTGTCTTATTCAAAGGAGTCTTGTACTTAGCTAAAACATCTATGACTCTAGGAAAAAAGGGCTGTGGTGGGTAGGCAGTGTGGGTAGAGGTCAATCAGCAGTCCTATAAAATAATCAAAACTCAGAACTGAATTAAAATGTCTATCTTTTCCTCTCTTCTAGTTGGGTCTTGCCACTGGAGACGAGCTTTCTGTTCCCTAGGCACCCGTTTGGCTAACCACCATTTCTCTCCAGGGATGCAGAGGGTGGAAATGGAGATAGGCAAATTATTGCTTTACAAGTACCGTCATACAAGGCCACGTCCTCTGTGGACATGACAGATGCAGATGGCAAAAATCAGCTGTTTCTCTCTTGGTATCTGTTGGGGGTCCTTCTTAGGCACCCACTGGGAAGGTTTGTCCTTTTCGCTGTCTGGCCTCTACTCAGCCCCTGGCCTCCTCTTTTCTTTGCTACTGTAAGTCCTCCCTTGATTGTCCATGCCTTCTCTGAGCGACTGGCATCCAAATGCTGGCTCATTCATGGGGAATGTGTACGCTTTAGTACACTCCTCACTCCACAGTTCTTTGATACTGATCCAACTTGTTCTAACTTTTCAGCCCCTGCCTCTTGTGGAATACCACAACTGCTTAGGGTCAGGCACAAGCTTTCTGTGTTAGTCACTTGCTCTGTGAGAAACTCGTGTATCCTTACCCTGTCAAACAACAGACATACTGCCCTGTTGCTGCTCCAGTGAGCTTCCTGCCTTCAGAGTTCTTCTGGCAAGAGGGAGGCAGCAATGTTTGTACACTGGTCTCACTCTCCAAACTCGAAGGCTCCATGGCCAGCCGTCCCTAAAATTCTCTCTCTAGTTGGCACTATGGAGAGCTGCAGGTCACTCGCCCAGTGGCTGGCAGCCACACAGCTTGAAGACAGACACTCCTCACTCAGGTCTCCCGGGTGCCGTCCCTTGACTTTGCCTTCCTGTAGCACTCCCAGGAAGGTAGAAACTAATAAAAATCTCCCTTCTAATCTTGTCTTATTTCAGCTGCAGGAAGTGTTGGAATGATAGTCGTAGAACCTGTTTTACTGCCTCTGGTGAGGCTGTAGGGATGGGCCTGGTAGCTCTCTTTAGAAAGTGGTAAAACGTAGCATGTGTTCGCTTCAGTTGTATCAGACATATCTTATGTACCACTTCGCATATCTCACCTGTTTTTTGTAAAGATTTATTTATTTTTATTTATGCATATAAGAACTGGGGTGTAGGCCAGAGGGGAAGGGTGAGAGGATTCACCAGAGACAGAGTGGGGAGCAGAATGGGCAGCTCGACTGTAATACACTGCTGAAGGGAGCAGCCGGCAAGAGATAGGAGAGGTCTGCTGTGCCATGTGGGTCAGCTCCCTGGCCAGGGATCAAACTCAGGCCGCAGTGGCTGGTGATAGCTTGATAGCACTAAGACTTTAACCCCTGCGCCACCTGGGAGCCCCCAGATATCTCATCTGTTGTGTCAGTAACCATTGCCATATAGCAAACCACTACAAAACACAAGAGTCTAAAATAATAACCCTTTTATTGACCATTATGCAATAGGTCAGCAATTTGGGTCTGGCTCAGCTGAGCAGCTCTTCTTCTGGTATCACCCTTGATTACTCATGGTGACATGGATAGAAGCTGTTGATAGGGCTCCCTCTTACCATGTCACCCCAGTTCCAGAAGGTATGATCTAAACGCTAGCTGGAGAGGGCCATTGGTCATTTCATGATCTGTAAGCTAGCTGTCTGCTTCTGAGAGATGAAGTATATGATGAGACCAGGAGTTTTGCACGGTCACATCCAGTAAGATGGGTCTGTTGGCTAGAGGCAAAACTCTATGGGATACCAATCAATAAATAGCATTTTTGAGCTCTTGAATAGTGGTGCTGGCAGGGAAGCTGAGGACAGGAAAGGCAAATTCTTAACAAGAGTATGAATCAGTTCTGGAAAGAATTGCTAAAACAGTCACACACCCCATGTGGAGGGAATTGAAAGTAATCAATTTGCCCAAGTGGCAGACCTGGTCTCCTCGAGAAAAGGTGCCACACTGTAGCTCAATGTGGATCTGTGCAGTTGCTGGGCAGGTGGTAGTTAGTTAAGCCTTGGTGAGAGGGCGCCCATGTGAGCCCTAAGGAGAAGTTGGTTCCCACAGACAGGATCCCTCACTCTCCCCAGGAACATTGTTGATTGTTGCCAGGAAATTTGTATTTGGCATGCCAGCTATTTATGGGCATTACCTGCCAACAAGGCTGGTGGGAGGAGGTCCAGTGAGGAGTTGAATTTGGTGTGACCTCCCTCAGGAGAAGAGCACAGCCCTATTTCCTGTTTGCTTTTTTTTTTTTTTTTAAGAATTATAAGTTTATTGCAAGGTTTTAATTTTAATTTATTTTTTTGTGCTGAAGAACTGGGGTATAGGTCAGAAGTACAGGGGTAGTGTGAGGATCCATCAGACAGAGTGGGGAGCAGAACAGACAGATCTACTGAAATACACAGCTGAGGGGAGCAGTGGGCAAGAAAGGAGAGGTCTGCCGGGACATGTGGGTCTGCCCTCTGGCCAGGGAGCAAACCCAGGCCGCTATGCCACCATAAGGCTTTCATGGCTTCATGGTGGTCGCACTGAGACTTAATCCCTGGGCCACCAGGAACCCCCCCCCCCCATTTGCTTTTTGCTTACAACTCCACATGAGTTCTCAGGATGGATCACTTCCAAACACTTGAGCTTTGTGTTAAATACTCTAAATTGCACTAATTTTCCCTTTTTATGCAGACCCCTTGACTTTTACCTTATGATTTGGTGATTCTCAATGCGAAAGAGGTGCCTCATAATCTACATGTTCCCCTATATTCTACCCCTTACTTTGTTCCCCAGCTAAAATTCATTTAGGTCTTGCCTGTGGACTGGTCTGTACCCTAAATAATGAATATGTCAGAATGCTTTCTGAGCTTGCTGGAAGAATTAAAGGCAGCTTATTCTAATT